CGTGTCGGGGCGCGCGCTCGGCGGTCACGGCCGGCCGGTGTGTTTAATTAGCGCCGTCGTCGAAATTAAAAAAAAATAGGGTTACGGCGCGATAGGGGAAAACACTTTTGAGGGGTGGGCCAGAGGTAACTGACGTGCAGCTGGACGTCCGTGTGCGTGCGTGCTTATACACGCGGACGTTGATTAAAATAATAATAATAATAATATGTGTATACCTGACACCTGGTCCGCGAGGGATAATAATATCATATAATATTATATAATATAATAAATCGCGATCGCGGAATATAATGTGTACGCTATTTCACTGACGGGTTTGGCGTGGTTAGAGGGGGGGGGGCACGCGTCGTCGTAGTGTCCGCGGCAAGAAAACAAAAAGCCGCGAAGGGATTGTTGACCCGAGGTCATAATTGTATAATACATAATGCCAGCTATAACGGCGCGACGACCTTTTTTTCTCTCCTCTTCGTCACTCTCTCGCACTCTCACAATGTCTCTCTCGTTAAACAATGCTGTAAATGTTTTCGGTTTTTTTTTTTTTACATTTATACGTCCGCGGACAACAAAAGATCGCGGGTCATCATCGCGACCGACCCGCGACGACTTGTATATCGCACATACTATGTACAATATTATAATACGCTTGCACATCAGCTGCGCTCGCGATGCCCGCGAATTTATTCATAAATGTCCGCGGGCCAGCTGCACGAGGCAACGGTCTCCCGGCACCCCCCTTAAGGGGCGACCAGCCGCCAGTTGACCCTTTGACCGAAAACGGGACAACGCGACCATACATCACATAATATAGGTATATATGCATAACGCGCGCCGTTCGTGTATCCCGCGAGCGGATCCCTCTTCGCGACCGTCGACCGAAAACAATAATAATATAATAAGTGCTCGGTCGTTTTTTTTTTTCACGTGGCGTATAAAGGCACGCGCTCGTTTCAACGCACGCATGGAAATACTAGTTTTTGTTATTATTAATGGGCCATTGATGGTCATCCCTTTTTTTTTTCCATCGGATTAGACGGCGCATGTTTGCCGCGCACCTGGCTTCGAACTTTTCCCGTTTTATACTCGCCCATAATATTATAATAATAAATAATTATGCGAATGTGCTGTACGCTACAGCGATGAAATGTTTTCATTATTAACTTTTAGTTTATGAATACGTAGAATACGGAATGGATTACTTTTTTAAAGTAAATAATCACATTTTGAAAAATAACGTTTCCTACGTTTTAAATACAGTTGTAATAATAATAGACTTTTTAGATTTATAGGTAATTGCGATAATTTTATAAATGTTTTTTTAACAAATAAATACATTTCTACACTATTATTTACAAACAAGATCCGTTGAAAAAAAAAAAATTCAAAGGACAATAAATTATAAAAATTTCCTTCTCTGAATATGCTAATATAATGATCAAAAATAAAAGTAGTATTTACCTAAAATGTTAAATAAAATATTTAAGAAAAAATATTTGAGTCCAGGTTACATTTTGTTTCTTGGACACACAAACGTTGCAGAGTGCTCTACTCAACGTGCTATAACTGTGCAATCAGTGTTTTTTTTTAAAAAACCTTGTTTATACTTTATACAATATTTTCTAAGTCAAAATGAAAGAACCGCGTTAAAGGTTAAATAAACTAGCATAATGTTCTACTGATAAAAATTATTTATACAGCGATACCGAACCATAGTTTCCCATAGATATAGTTTTTTATATTTTTACTCGAGATAAATAAACTAATATGTAATAGGAAGTTATCTTTAAACCGAAGTTCATCTGTTTGCCATTATTTAACCTTAAAAAAAAAACTAATGCAATTTGTCTATTGGTACGCGTTTACTCAACGTATCAAAAATTTAAAATATGATGTATTCTGCAATATTATTTCATAAAATTATTAATTTCTTAATCTGTGTGACGACTAGACGTTAAGTTTAAAGAACCGAAACGTACATGTGTTATATGATGACACTGGATGATGTTTATGTACTTGGGTTGGAAATTTAGAATGACTTAAAATATTATGCGTCTCAAATAACAAGTACCTAGATGCTCATTATTATTTATTAATTTACATTATTTACACTAAAGGCTCAAAATAATGCTAAAAACGAACAATAAAGTAGTGTTTGAGTGCAAATCGAATCCATATATAAATTGATTGATCGGATAAAGAGATTTTTTTTAATGCAACATGACGTGGATTTAAATAAACAAAATAATTATTATAATTATTGAAATGTTATGAAAATGTAATGAATCCTTCACGAGAATTACCGATTTAAAGATTTTGGGTAGGATCAATTTGAAAATTAAATTATGAATGAAATAAAACTATTCTGAGCTTATTGTTGTGTGAAGTGCGGTATGGTTTTTTACATATGAATATATGATATATCATTAACAGAAAATGTATAAATTACCGTATATTTTTATTTATTACCCTTTTGTTTGAAGTGATAATAATATTGCATATTTTTTATTGGAAGAATTATAACGATATATCAGCAAACATTTCAGGAAAAAATCTTTGAACCCTCGAGTTAGATAACAAACATTGCAGTAATTTTATCAGAAACGCATTACAATGCACACTGCACAAATGCATAATTAATTATATTTTTCTATATTTTATTCCTACATATTTTATACTTATATATTTCAAAAACCCGGAAACTACTTCGAGGCACTTAGCCTGTTTTTAGGTCAGAAATAAAATAAAAATAATTATGTTATAATAGTACCTTTATAATATTATGTGTCTTATGTTATTAGCAGGTGTATGTATTTATATTATCTTTTTTTAATATTTGTTTTTCTGTTTTATTCGTGGACGCGTGCCACGCTACTTTTATTTGTTTAGATGATCGATCAATCGACGCTCATAATATATAGTGATATAATGATGTATAAATGATTTTCTTACACAACTGTTTTGCTTGATAAATAATATGTAGTTATTATAATATATTATGTATTAGAAATAACATTTGATTTTTTGTTTCGACCGTAAATTTAACATGTAACTAAAAGCGGGTTTTATCGTTATTATTCAGTCGATTAAGTTGTATCACTGGGGCGATTACCCCTGCATAAAAATATGTGAGACATATTGTATTATTGTTATCGAATTTAATAATTTATAATAATATACATTATTATGTATGTACAAGAACTATCGCCTAATTATGAATGAAAGACAAAATGTATGGATCACTGAAATTGTGTTTATGTTAATTTATTAACTAATTTAATACCTACCAACTTATTATTTGTTTTATTTACTCACATCATATTTTTATCTCATCGGTCATTACGTTTCCTACTTCTACACGTAATATCGTGTTGATATGAAAATAATATCAAAATGGTCCATGCGTAATTTAATTCAATAGTTTTCGTTCCGAAACGGCAGTCGCAACGATATCTTCCGGGCTAAATACGAAACATTTCAACCCTTTCTGTGCGGAAGGGTTAAATCCGGGAAGGGTGTCCGTAAGGCTGCGCCACCAGACGGAGACAAAACGTTCAGAATAATCAAAAACGAGTTTTGATGTCATGAAAGTTTACTAAAATCTAAACGAAAAAAAAAATAGAACAGAACAATTTAAGCGATTATCTTTATAGTTACAAACGTACGAAAATTAATTGCATACACTCTTGATGTTACATAGTCTATGTATTTTTTATACATACCTTATATGCAATATGACATTATGTATGATATTTTTATTTTTTATACGACTGACTCATCAGTATAATCTCGATATCACAATTGTTTCTCGTGACAAGCGTTCAAACGTTAACCTTCATGCAACCAAACCACAACAATATTATTATATACTATGCAAAATCATGTATACATGCTATTATGCTATACAGAATGTAAATGCAATAATATATTAGTACGGTAAAATAAATAATAAAAAATATTTTATAAAAATAAAAATCTTTTTCGGACTCTCGCGTGGCGCCGTGCTCATATATATCGTAAAAAATTATTATTATACGATACTAGCGTGTCGCGTCGGGCGCGAAGACGGTGTGAAAGGAAACGGAAAAACCAAGCAGCGCATAGTGGGTGGGCGGTGCGGGGAGCGGAAAAAAGGCACTGGGTCGGCTGCGGCTGGGGCGGGAAAAACGAAAAACGAAAAAATAAGAATAAGGGTAGAACGAAGGGAAAACTACACCCCCTATCGCTTCTTCGCCGTCTGCGGCGGGGGTGGGACGAGCGACCGAGAGAAGAGAGAGCGCTAGGGGCGGACGCCGGCGCAGAAATACGCAAGTAAGGAAAACGTCTGGCGGTGTACCGCGCGCTCTTCCTAAGAGGGAAAACCCGACCCCTATAGCACCGCGGCGCGCACGGCCGTAGAAAAGGACGGCGCGCGGCGGCCGGCACACGCTACCGACAGGGACGGCGATATGTCCGCGACTCCAAGACATCTTGGCCGCGTATCTCCTCAGTCGCGCCGCGACGCCGACACAAGACGCCGCCACCGCCGCCGCCGCTCTTACCGCTCTTACCACCGCCGCCGCCGCCGCCGCGAGTGCTACACACACACACACACACACATACACACGCGCGCGCTCAGTTCGCCGCGCTCGTACAGCCGACGTTTTTCCGGCCCGGCGTCTTGAGACGTCGCTCAGTCTCAAGACTACTCTGACGTCGCGAACACCTTAGGTGCCCGACTCCCGATTTAGGCGTACACGCACGCACATACAGTATACATCTCTGCGACACTCCGGTAGTATATAAAATCGTATACTGCAAGTGTCGCGATCGCAGGTCGCAATATTATTTTACGCACGGTTCGTTGATATATTTTATAATTTATTAGCTTATTTATTAATAATAACTTTTCACTCGTCTGGCACGCGCGATCGTCTAATTATTTTTATTTCCAAAATATAAATATTTTTTTTTTATGTTTTAAAACACGTTTTTACTATCGAGTTTTCAATTTTTTTTTTTTACAGATTTGAAAGAAAAATTTCCTTTTTCTCTTTCCGTAATCGTGTAATTATACAGATCGAGTGAATTGCTTCCGGACGAATTTTACGCGCGTCATGTACGGCCAATATTGCTACTACGGCTGTCACTACTACTGCCACCACTGTGTCTGATCATCGTTTGGACACGTGAGCGAATAGAGAGAAAAAAAATATCATCAAATTGTTTCGCATCAGTCAAGACGATCTCTTCGGTCCCGCTGGATCTTCGCGCCTCGCCCGGCCACGAACACCTGCAGGGCGACGACGACAACGAAATGTCGGCGGATATACAGCAGCAACAGCAGTCTGTGTTGTTGCAACGGCCGGTGTTCAAGATGAACCCGGCCGCGGATTTTTGGCAGCAACAGCGGCAACAGTACCAACAGCAACAGCAACTCCAGCAGCAGCAGCAGCAACAACAACAACAGCAGCAGCAGCAGCAGCAACAGCAACAACAACAACAGCAGCAACAGCAACAGCAGCGGGCGGTTGATTCTTCGCCGTCACCACAACCTCAGGCGGCGCCACCGCCGCCCACGCTGCAAGTCAACCATGACCAGCAGCAAGTTCCATCGTCCATCGTGGTAGTCGGACAACAACAGCAGCAGACGCCGAACAACGTACAGGTGACGGCTGACGAGGCGATCGCCATGGTCGCTCAACAAGTCGCACAACACCAACAACGGCAACAACAACAACAACAACAACAACAAACGCAAAACGTCGAGATGACCGATGACACGGACGTTATAGTCGGACAACCGTCACCGGCGGCTATCCGCGCAGCCGTCCAGCAACAGCAGCAGCAGGACTCTTCGGCAGCCGCAGGATTGGCCGGACAACCAACGGCCGCCGGCGACCCGACCGTATCCGTCGTCATCAACCAGAACAATGCTTTGGTACTGAGCGACCCAAAAATGATGACCGAAAAATTGGTCAGCGAACTACAGGTGAGTCCATTTTATTTCCGCTCGTAATTCCACTGTAATAATTAATATTATTCCCACAAAAAAAAAAAATAATAATAACCCGTTTTCACTATAAAATAACAATATATTTATCGACAAGTGTTTCTATTCAATTTTTTTTCATTATTCAATAGGGAAATATATTAAACTTAAAAAATAATATTATAACAATATAATATGAAAAAAATGTGTATAGCGTTTTACTTTATTTTCCCGGGAATATATTTTTCACCGTAAAGCGATTATTATAATTTTTTTTAATGATATAATGCTACCTGTAAATAATATTAGTTTTTAAAAAATAAAATTTAAAATCTAAAAGTCTAATTTTTCTAACTAAAACGTATAAAATAATATGTTATAAACGATTAAAATTAATTATAAGTATAACATAATTATTAACATGTCAGATACAATTTAATCAAATGAATGAAATAAAATAAAATCACTGAAAAAATATTGAAATATATATTTTGATGAAAAATGTTTTATAGTTAAAATAATAGTTTTTTTTAGTCTTTATAATATTTTTAAAAATATCACTCAAAATATTATCATTGCGAAGTATGCTATTGAATTTGTATTTTAAACTTTGAAAAAAAATACACTTTTTAACCAAAACATCAATGAATAAAATGTTTAACTAAATTTCCCTTTTTATCTCAAAGCAAAATTTGTATTTATTGTTCATAAAATATATTTACTTTAAAATATATCACATATAAATTAGTTTCAAAAAAAATATTATTTTTAAGTAAAAAAAAAGCCTGCACGTGTACTTGGATTGCAATAAGTAGAAAAAACACATCTTTATTTTTAAAATTAAATTATACCGAGGTAAAAAAATAAATGTACTGAAATAATATTAATACAAAACAGATTGTTGGCATAATATCAAGTAGAAAAAGTTGATGACGGCCAGTGAAAAAAACGTAATGAAAAGTGACATATAGGTAAAAATTATGATAGGCAAAAGCTGAAGATATTATGTATATTAATATTTAATTTTGTTACTCAATCGCAATTATTAAAAATAATTAATACTTAGATGTTCATAATATAAATACCCTCTAATTTTCCCAATTATATTAAGAAAAATCTTCTAGAGCCATTTAATTTTAATTCTCTATAAGAAAAAAATAAAACAAAGTATAAAAACATTTATTTTAATGGTGTAAGTATATTGATAGTCAGATGGGATTTTTTTTTATGAGAATGATAATTTGTGGAAGTTTATTTAAATGAAGGTATCAATAGATAATATTATAAACTATAAAAATTAAAAAAACCTTGACATTGATTCTAAGTTATTGACAGTTAATTTAATTAATCGTACAACCACAATATTATTTTATGTATAAAAAAATTATATTTATGTTTTTATTTAATTTAAAAATATTTTCATGTTGAATTAATAGTTTAAATTGTAAAAATGTTTATTCTATTGCATCGAACTTTTATAATTAATATTTTTCTACTCTTAACTAATAAATTAATAAGTAATATCTATAATATATACATCAAATGACGTGCCAAGCATGGGCTTTTGGCTTCATTCCTCTTGAAAGGCTTCAAACTAAAAAATTAAAGCATTCCGAAATAAATCTCGTTTACTAATAATTGTACAGTAGGTACAGTAACAAAAAATAGCAAACTAATTAAGCGTTAAAAGTATGTAGAACATAACTATAAACTTACAAATAAAATGCACTGTCGACGAAACAAAATAAACAAAAAACATTGCAAAAAAAATAACTATAAAACCATTAAATATCAAAAAATATGATCATGTTTAATGAGTAAATTTAGTATGTTGAATTGTGAAATTGAAGTGTACGACTGGACACGGTACACTAGTATGCCGTGGTCATTGTTGCCCAAACTCCTACGGGGGTAGTTTTTTTCTCGAATGCCTAACCTTATAAAAACCGGTCGACCGGCTTGAGCACGGGCTACACAACCGGATGGTCGCCAGGAGGTGTTGCGCAACACGCGCGACCCCTATTAACATGTAGGGTATTTCGAAATGGGGTAGCCCTTAGTAATTCATTTTATATATTTTTGGGGTGCCGACTGGCCATTTGAGCCGCTGTCGTTCTTTTAGTTTCGACACAACTTTTTAATTTGCCCAGAAAAACTTATATTATTCCTAAATAATAATAATTATTACAATTTTTATGCAATAAAAACAATAATATAATATTGAGAATGGTCGTAGTTTTTTTTATGGTAGTAGGAGAAGAAACAACCGAAGGCCGGAAAGTTTTGCCTACGAAAAAATAGGAGTAACTCGCGTGGTAAAAACTTGTGGGTGGGTGAAAATATAGAGAATATGGACGGGGAGGACATAAGGAAACTCTGTTTAAGGATGAAGGGGCAAAAGGAATCGGAAAGGACCTGCGCGTTTCTGCCGGTCGACTATAGTGTGCGGTGGCGCGCTCTTCACTCCGAGCTTTTTGCCGCCCGAAACCGACACCAAACCGTAGTGACCACGTGAACACAACACGAGTCACAACCCCTTTGCCGATTTGAAGCCAAACAACATGTGTCTGAAAAACGTATTTCAAAAATAAAAATATGGATGATTATTATAAATGTATAATAAATTATAATATAATATAACAATAACAAATAATAATAATAACTGCCAATAGGAATTTTAAACGACTGTAATAAAACTATTCAACATCAGACTAATATTAGATAAAGATAAAATACAATTAATAATTGATAATTTTACATATGAATAATACGATATTGTTATCGATTAAAAAAAAACTCCCAAATATCCGGATCGTGATTATTTAATTATTGTATTACCTATACCTACCTATAAGCAGTACAACATTAGAGCTACACATAAAAATATATTGTTACTAATAAATGTGTTGTCGTTTGACTCTAACCAAAGAAAAAAAGATACATTTGTGTATTGTATTTTTTTTTTTTTTTAATGCTGCTTATTGTGGATTCACCATGTGCAGAACCGATCGATATCAGACCGCACTCTTGAAGAATGCTGGTCCACTCTTCAGCGAGTCAGCTGGAACGTCTTTCGTTCAGTACGCTATTTTTACATATAACAGTTTTACAATCATATAGTATTCTACATAATATTTTATTGTACTTTAATTTTGTTTTGGTTTTATTTCGAACGAATAGCGTGTTTTATTGCGTGTATGTGTATTTGTGTGTATGTGTGTGTGTGTGTGTGTGTGTGTGTGTGTGTGTGTGTGTGTGGAATTTTTGTTTGGTTATTATTATATCATTATTATTTTGCTCACTTTTCGCCTGCATGTTTTTATTACCCTCCCGAAAAGTCGAAATCGCTTTTTATTGTAATATGACTGAAATTTGTTTACTGCACGTTCCTTTCGATATTATTTTTGTGTGCTATACAACACATCACATAGGTATTGTTTATTTGTTTATACATGGGTATATCAGTCAAGAGGGGGTGGAGTGAGAGCACTAAAAATATACCAAGAAAAATACCGTATTACAAAAGTCTTTAGGTCACGCGACCGTTCTACCTACGGACGTCTCCTGTCAATACACACTCACACAGAAATACCCTTTGCAGGCAATCGTGTGGAAAAAATCAAGCTGCTCATTTGATTCTATCACGAGAAAACATATTATATACCTACGATCTACATAAGTATATAAATATATGTACCGTCGTACACCCATATAATATTGTTTTTTAATATTAGTATACTTTTTTTATATTTCGTTCATATTTAACCGTTTGACAATTTTGAACGAAAATTAAATAAAAACCACTCGCCGAACAATATAAAATCGCTTGTCAATAAACTTACCGAGATAGAGATCTTCGGGGTAAAATATTCCATTTTTCTACTGTTATATAGGATCGATGACCCTCTATAAGTTTTGCATAACGTCAATTAAAACCATTTTGTCGTAACAAAGGATACTCCTTCTATTTGGTAACAGCGACCGCCGCCACCGCTACCGCCGCGCCGTCTTCCCGTCCCTCCAATAGCCGTATGAAGTCCGATTGTGTTTTTGTATGTAAATATACATCCATCCGCTATCTTGATTCCACCGTCCAAACTCAATTAATGAATTCTCCTTTTTACATTTTTTTTTATCCCCCCTCTCCCCAGTGCACCCACTTATCCACGTCGCGGTTTCTTCCGAGAAGACATGACGCTGACATGTGCCACGGACATCAAGGTTAATTAGAGCGATATACGAGCTCACCGGTGCATCTATAAAAGTCATTGAAAGTCCATCCTCGATGGTTCATCTTCAAAACCGTGAGAAAATACCGTTAGCAGCTGTTAAAAAATTATTTCATTTTTTTTTACCCGGTCCTTTTGTTTTATTAAATGTAAACCCCAGTTTGTTATCAAGCATACGGGGACAATCCGGTTTATTTTTTTCATTAACAAGAGGATTAAAAAAAATCATATCTCTTACATGCGGCATTACAACGGTTAAAATATAAAAAAAAACACCACTAAAACGGTATTAAAATGTTTCTTTTTTTTCGATCAAATTTTATCTTATCTTAATTTTTCTATGTACATATAAATTAAATTAATCAAATTGTCTTTATGTAGCTACACATAACATGCAATTAATATTATGATCAAATAAATTACATTAAATACTATTCATTTCATGTTCATTCGATTGCTTTCAATATTCAAAACATGTTATCAGTTTAATACGTAATACTTAAGGCGTCATTTGCTAGTTTCATTATAATGTATACTGCAGCAATTTTAAACTCACAAAAAATAATAATCAAATGCTTAAAACTTACTTAAATTAATAAAGTTATTCGGGTTTTATATAATATTTTTGTGATTATCACCATAAATAACTACAGATTTTTAACAAATTCTTTGTTCAATCTCAAAAAAAGTTATTTAACAAAAATTCATTGATATCAAAGGTCTCGATTCATTGGTATCGTAGCTGGATGTAATGATATCGTGTATCCATTATGTAATATGTAATTATATTAATATTAAAAGATGCAGACTATAATTTTCAACTTTCATTTTACCGGTCCATTTCGGCCGGTCATGGATCGCCACCACCGGTCAAGTATATACATGTATATATTATAATATTATGTTTCAATATTTGAACGCAAACGTTTTGGAAAAATATTTGCAATTTTAATTATCTAGCTCCCGCCGGTGTAATATCTTATGCCTCGATAAAATATTATTAGTCACTATATTATGCCTTTTGCTCCCATCGCGGAAACAATGATACGAGAAATACATTTTTTTAGTATTTAAATTATTGTACAGTAGTGAGCGTGCATTCGAATCACGTCGGCCGGCGGAAACCAACCCGTGAAGCGGTCCGAAATCCGAAGGCCTGATGGTGGCAGCAGTACGCGTAAACCTATTATTGTAAAACAATGAAAAATTGTATCGAAAAAAAAAAAAAATAATCGAAAATAATTATAAAAAAATACTCAGAACACAATGCCTTAAAATCGCCGGACCGAGGAAACAACACCTAGCGATACTAATGGTGGATAGGGGGAGGGGGCGCACCACAATGGCGGCAGTTCGGACCCAGCAATTTCATACGCAAATACTTATACATAATAGTAATAATAATAATAACAACAACAATAATAATGATAATATTATTATAATGCGAGTAGTAAAACAAAACGAAAAACGTCGTCGAGGCTTCCGAAAGAAATAAATTCGAACGCGGCACGCGAGAAATGCGAATGGGGCCATAAATAAAACGCCGCCACTGCGTTTATTTTTCTGCTAAGAAAATCCCGCGCGCGCGTATTTTATAATATAAATAGGTAAACCTATAGTATTGTCGAGCTGCCCCGGGGCGGACGGCGCCGCCCAACCCCCTCGAAAGTAAGAAAAAAATTATTGTTATTACAATATCGTTATCTGATTTCGCTGGCCAAAAACGCCACACGAACCGCGGTGCACAAAATCTCCGATCAAAATTAAATTTATCGTGTTTCCCACTCGTGTGTACAGCGGTGTTTTCTTAACATGATATTATTATTTCTGTGTAAGAAAACAAATTTTAAACAGATAAAATTAAATGTTTAAAAAAAAACGAAGTGGTGCCCGTCGTTAGCGAAAAGAACGACAACTACTCACTCGATATTACCATAGGCACTCGATAATAATATAATACAACGACACTGCACAATACGACGATCGCAACGTCGTGGCATATTATTAATAATTAGGCATTATTATTAATATTATAATCTCGAAAGGTTTGCGGCTGATCGTCTTGGTTCGGATTCGCGGCGAGGTCGTTAAACGTCTGGTGACGTATACGCGATGCGATAAAGAAAGAACACCAGTTATAATATGCACTCTAAAACACATGTACACACACACACACACACACACACACACCTACACACACACTCACAAACACACACACTGCACATATGTAAAGTTCCCGACCTAAGTCAACGTTGGGCTAGGCTAATATCGACGTCGGCGGTGGCGGCGCGGCGTACAGTACTGTCTGCGTCTTCGTTCGTCCAACAACCGCGGGTGGCGTCTAACCGCGAAATTCGCCGTGATGATGTTATTGTCGACGCGGTTGGCGCGATAAGCAATATTGCAATAATATATTAACTCATTATTATTTCAAAGTCGTTCGAATAAAAACAAGGAAAAATGCTTTGATGGTTCGTCGGATTTACCATGAAATCCAATTGTTTAGACTTTCAGATTAAAGTGAGTAATACAATAGTTACGACTCGCGCGTACATTTTAGTTTTTTTTCCGCCACACACGCGTTCACCGCACCGATTTAACTGGGTCAACCAGCCGCCGCCTCCGCCGCCGCCGCCGCCACCGACGGGGTATGTTTGTTCTATACATTCTTTCTTATTCGATTTTATACATAACTTATTTTATTTATTATTCCTATTTACTCTTACAGCCGAGCACCAACGTTTTCCAAACACGCCTACACACAATTTAAAGTGCACACACAACAGTTGCATAGGTCTTGCGCTCCGACATGTGGCCGACGGCGGCTGTGCGGCGTAGCGCGCGTCCTGCTCGCGTTTCCGTCGGTGCACGATCGCCGAAATTTTAAAAACGGATACACTCAAACCGTTCACTGTTTATCAATAGATATTGTCTAACGACTTGCATAATATTAATATTATGACATTATAATAGTGTCGTTGTACCGGCCACAAATCAATCGTGACTGCGGGGTGGTCTTCTTGTCTTCCGCGACGCGTCACAACTCGCCCGGATTCCTTCCGCGTCCTTGTCCGCTATTTTTAGACTATATCTAATTATAATACGTCCGCCCGGTCGTGAACCCGAATCCCACCGCTCACCCGCTCACCATCCCAACTCACAGAAACCCAAAAACCACACGGGACCCCCTACCGAGTGTCCTAGTCGTTTGGACTACATTTTTTTATGATTTATTTTTCGATTCGTCATCTTTTATTATTATATTTATTTGTATAAATATATATGCATCGCGTACCGACATACAGCTCTCGTCCTCTGCGTGCATATTTACACTGACCCACCTCAACACGATAAGCGTTATCATTGCGCGGTGCGTTGACCCGAGTGATAGGTACAGCTCATAATAATATGTCAGGCGTCAGCTACATAATAGACATTAATACATAATATAGTACCTACGTCGTTGATGAATGACGACGCGACGATGCGAGTCACGACTGTAATTTCACATCCATCGGCATTATACATTCCGCAAATCTGCCCGTCTGTTATTTGTTTTTAGATAGTGTTGCAGTTAATGCAATTGATATTAATCAATCGGAAGATTTGTTTATATTTTTTTCCGTCATAATAATCATTATTATTTCAGTACTGATACGCATCGAGGAACGGGTTGATGGATTGTGTCTGTCTGGATAGTTCATTAGTGTTCATTAGTCGTGTTTGACGGGTTTCCGAAAGGGTTGTTTGTTAAATTTTTTTTTTCCCGTTACGACCATCACCTGGTGTTTCGAACCGTCGTAGACACTATCTTATGTTGACCTTATGTTGACTACTACGGTGGTGGTGTTTTGCAGGTGATCATAGGCACGCGGGGTGTGTGTTTGTGTTCCGTGGATGACGTCACCGAGTACAGCGTAAATCAAAATTAATAATATTAAAATTAATTTCCCCCTGTTATTTTTTTTCTGTACTTTGTCTTATTTGCAACCCGTGTCGGCCGCCGCCGACGCGACGTCGTGTAAATGTTCGGATATCAGTCAAACGGCGTTCGGGCGAGCGAGAATAAAAAATAGTTTTTAATCATCGTCGGAATCCATAAAAATCACATCGGCTGCGTTAAGTGTCTGTAATGGATTTACCCCTTTTTACCACTATACTTTCAGTCGGTGCTAAATAAAAAAAAAAATATATATATATATATCACGGCCATCACCGTTGCCGAGAAAATGCAATCAATGTTAAGTGGTTTATTGTTTTTAACCGTAGTTGTTGTAGTGTCGTCTCGTGTTTTTTTCCCTATTTTTTGCCAATTTTATTTTATGTTTACGCGACTAAAGCACTCGCATGATGCTTATGTCCGTGCAGTAGTATATACATTATGCAATATTATGTTCCTTGTATTATACTGTATATGAGCTATTGTATTTAAGTGTATCATATGTGTTTGTGTTTGTGTTTAATCTATAATATAGTATAATATGCAATAATAGTGTGTTACACCGGGCGACGATGACACGGCAGCGACGTGGAGGCGGCGACGAAGTATAATTTTTTAATTGCTCGGGTTTAATTAACCGCACGGGTGGGTTAAAAAAGCAGCATTTCAATTAATATTTTAAAGCGAAATAAAAAAAAAAGTCTGTAACCTAGTAATTCAACCCCATACTAGGGGTTTATTTTTTTTAATTAATCCCTCGTTTCAACGCGTTATAATACATATGATCTCGCGCATACGGTTTTAAAACGTCAGGTGTGCCAACCCTCGCGAGGCCTAATACGCGGCGTGTTTATTTTACCCCATATACGAGTATTTCAATTTTTTTAGTTTCTTCCCCCTCCCCCCGTCCTCAAACCCTTTTGCCGCTGTGGCTGCTGACACACAATAATATGTTGTACCCTTTTTCGTCACGCACACCGTATACCGGTCCCGAACCGGCTCTGTCCGCGTACAGCAGCCGAGTTCAGTAGTAGCAGTGGTAGCAGCCACAGTTTCGTCTCGCGCGTTGTATTTTTTGATTTTTTCGATTATTATTGTCGTCATGATTGTCGATATCATGGACGCAAAACCTTCACCGCTGCCGTCTCCACGACAATCGTCCACACCTCCACCGCTTACCTACTCACGGCCGTTTCGTTTGTGCTACAGATATTCATGCAAAAGTCGGCGGCCATGCAGATGCAGGCTCGCGACTTCGGCCGGCCAGGCAGCATCGGTGGTAGTTCGTTAAGTGGCAGCGGCCTGGAAGTGAGCAAACCACACCAATGCCAGCAATGTCTCAAGTCGTTCAGCTCCAACCACCAGCTGGTCCAACACATTCGCGTCCACACCGGCGAGAAGCCGTACAAGTGTTCCTACTGCGAGCGCCGGTTCAAACAGCTCAGCCACGTCCAACAGCACACCAGACTGCATACAGGTACTGAATAAATATCACTAAATAGTATAATAGTACATACTATACATGAGTACCACACATTTGTATAGCATGTATTATAGTTTCTAAAAATAACCGTATAGGCTGTAATGTTAAATAATAATAATAATAATATGGGTAATATATTATAAGGGGCGATTTGATTATGGTTCGATATAAAATTTGTATGCTTGACTTTAAAATTACATCAGTGTGCAAATAAACTAAATTAGCAAATAGCTAGCAGCAAATAGTGAAAGCGCAAAAATTATATACACCTAACACTTGTGTCTGGGTGGGAGCGTAAGTTGCCGGAATTTCACAGCCACTGTTCGAACTGTAATTATGGGAAATGGATTTTTAGAAGCAACGAAAAATAAAGGGATAACGCGATTGCGAGGAAAAGTAAATAAAAAAAAAATTCTTTTTATAGAATGTCGTGCACTTATATATATATACACTGATTCTGCTGCGACGACGAGGTAAAACACAATAAGAAAGTCGAGTAAAGTTGTTATATTGTTTTTAATTCCTGCAAGCCCACGAATTTCCAATCATATCCAACCAATTTGCACCCTCTCCTCCGTGTCCTCCAGCACCTCGCGGAACTCACCCCTCGCCCATTATCGGTTGTAGACGTTTTTTCTGTTCGACATTTTCTCAGGCGCATTCGCTTATATTATTATGTATTCAAACTTTTTGAAAAGCCTTTCCATCCGCTGCCTGTAAAAATGTACCGTTGTGTTCTGTTTCGGGATTGGTGAAAAAAAATATATATATTTTCCTAAAAGCCGAAACGGTGACGGAGTTTTAATTATACATTTCGACCGATAAGTTTTACAAAATAGTCACGCCGACGTTTTTACTAATCGAATGAACACCCAGCTTTGTCTTTTTACGACAGAGTAAAAAATAAAAACTGAGTACCTAATATCTCATTTTTTTTCACCGTTATTCTGGCAATTTTTTGTTATTGATTGAAAAGATCTCATTATACATAATCATATGACGTCCGACACTCCACTGTGAAATTACGAATTATTATATAATGCTCTGCAATTATAAAGGTACTGCAGTAGATATAATAAAACATTCTATGCTCTAGTGCAACGGTGACGACGTGCACTTCACAAAACTGTTTACATCGCTTATATATAATAGATATAAGCAGTCTCATGGCGTATCGATAACATATTATATTATTATATATTATGTTTTATGTACAATATAAATTATAAAGTTAATACGAACATATTATTATACTCTTTATTTAATTGAACGAGATAAAGACAGCAGATTAACTGAGAACACAGTCGCGGGCCGTGTCAGTGAACCGCTGTGCAACTTTATCAGTGGTGGACGAGAGGCGTGATCTCCCCGATCGCCGCAGAGCCATGTATATCTCGCGTTGTTCAGACGATATGAATTGATTTATTTGCTAATAACGTGTGCAACATTTTATTGTTATTTTTCTCTTTTACGACCAAACTGCGTCAAGTACGGATAATTCATTAAAAACCAAACGCATCGATAAGCGAATAACAATTATTAATTATTATTATTATTGTATTAAAATCTAGGTCAGCCGTAATTCACGAATTATTAATAATTATTATTACAAGAACGCATATAATAATGTGTGAATAATAACAGTAACCATCGTACTATCGTATAGCTTCAGTATAATATACACGATCCGCCTGATGAAATTTATATAAATAATGCGTTTGAGCTTTGACAATTGAAATGTAAATATATCCCTCTGCAGACCATAAAAAAGATTGCAGTGAGCATCAACAATTTACAAGTGGAAAAAAAACTAAATAAATAAATGGAATGAAATTAACACGAAAAAAATATAATCATTTTTTTCGCATTTCCCGAATAAATCACGTTTCGAAAAATGGTCCATCATTAACAGCTATTCATTCCCGTTAATTTTCTTCCCTTCAATATTCTCGGAGAAAAGTGTCCCCCTTTTTATGAATATAAAAAGAGCGACGAAATACGAAAAAAACCTTCTTGATTTTTCTCTACAGCAACGACCACGGTGGCTGCGCGCACGGACCCTTGTCAACTCATTGGTCGTTTTATTGTTATTTACTTTTAACAGATATTGGAAAAAAAGGGCGTTTCGCAGGCACTCCCGCGTTGTCGCATAAAAAAAAAATAATATAAAAAAAAACAAACGAAAAAGTTTCCAATTATTCTCTGATAAATTCAATATCATCAACAAGTAGCCTGGCACCGCTTTTTTGCTCCATTTAATCCTGACATTTATTAAAAAGTAAATATGTATATAATATAGTAAACACTTATGTTTGAATATTTTTTTAAATTTTAATAGAAACACTAATTTTTTCCCCCGTTGTGTCCCCTCCACCATTTCTGTATATAATAATCATAGCTAGGTAGATAATATAATAATATAAAGTTTTAATAGAGCATCATCGGAGAGACTCCGTTTTTAATTAATAGCCAAACAAATATTGGTCTTTCCACTTACACACACACACACCACTATAATACTCAATTATTATTTTTATTATTTTACGTACGATTCGTACGCGTGCGATTAAAACTGCAGCTGCGTCAGAACTGGCTCTCACACGCCACACATCGACATCGTATGTTATATTATAATAATAGGTAATATCTCACATTCTCATTTCTCACCCCCTCTGGGTGGGGTTTGGCGCGCACATGTGGGCGTGTGCGAAATCAAACATGGCTGATGTCCAGCACCGTGTACGCAAAATACACTAGGGTAATACGAATGTTATCGATGTAATAGAATAATCCTAGAAAAATGATGATTATTATTATATACCCATGTACACATTGATAAAATATACGTAATGCAATGATATAATAATTATAATATTATGATGTTAAGTACCTATTTTGTGGCATCAGGATGATGTAGGTACAATGTTTGGTTGTCAACGTCGACACCGATGAGCTATACTTTACCGTACCTAATGATTAATGAGTAATGACTAATGACTAATAATTTGTAAATGATAAAATAACATGGCGTACCTAGGTATATAACAAATTTAGATGAAATGTCGTTCTTGCATCGCGGTCAACTATAATATTAATATGTACTATTATATTATACACTGTATGTGTAAATTGTATAACAAATACACTATACGCTGACAACCCTGTCATTTCCACCGATACAACTAACCACCAATGTGTGAATTGTGTCTAATCGCAGTCACGACGAATATTATTAAAATATTTTTATTATACATGCATGTGATATGTTATAATTTATAGAAATGTAATAATCATTTTCATCGGGGTTCGTTTTACGGTTAGGTTAGTTTAAGTAATAAGTACAAGTTAGGAGTAAACCGTTGACCATACACTAAAAATTATAAACGGATACTACACATTTAATTATCAACAGAAGAATATCATTTTTCTTTTTTTCTATAATTTAATATTGTTTGTATGTTTCCAAAAATTCCCTGATATTGATAATCAGAATACATCAAATAGCAGATCAAACACTGCAGCGAACTTTTAATTGTTTTTACATGTATTTTAAAACATATAATAATACGATTATTTTTCAATCGCAATTTTCAGTGCCTACAAATTATAAATTATATTACACATAAACGCAGTTTGTATTTTAAAAAAGGCTACTTTGTCCACGGGTATAAACTCATTACTATTAATATCCCTCCACATTTCTGAACTTTTTAATGCCCACGAATGGTCATTCAATTATGTAAAACGAAATAAAATCGGTATCGAATGAGAAAAAAAATTCATATCCAAAAATTGATAAATACACAATATTATAGCAACGGCAGTTCGTAAATGTGATTTTGGTCGGGCTCCGGTGGGAATGAATCAAATTACCGAAACCAATTTCCGCGTGTACGCCAATCTCCGGTGAAAAATGTTACCGTCGACAAAAAAGAATCGCTGTTAAAAATTATTTTATATTATTAACACGTGGTGGTAAAAAGACGTTAGAACTTTTTTCCGCGGTCAACAGTTTCATACCCATATTTCATAATGATAATTTAATACTATAATAACTGGTCTAATATTCTAATTTCTGTCCATAATATTTGTACCTACATAAATGACGCCGAATACGAATGCGACCAGTGCGCGAGCGTTTTTACTCGCCTGCAGTCGCCGGGGGTTGTACTTCGTCACCGGCGCAGTAGTCAGCGGGGAGGTGGAGAGCTATAATAGATACGACAGGTAAATTGCCGAGGCAATCAAACCGCTTGTAAGAGGTATAATATCCAATGATAATAATGACAACAATACCTCATGTAGGCTCACTGCTACTACCTATGTAGGGTACGACAATATATCCGCGATGCACACAACAATATATTATTATTTATTACAATATGTGTGCGAACGTTATTATCGGCGAATTACGACTTTGCGGGCATACCTACACATCGCACAGATACTGTACACAATATATACATTATACATATATGAGGCCATAAGTATGGCATGGACGGCGGTCACGAACAACGAGCGGCCAGCAACATCGACGACGGCGTTTCGTGTACGTATTATAAACAAGAAGCACCCCGGACGTACCTATTGGAATTAATTCGTATTATTCGCATTTCGCAAATAATTTTCTAATAAAATATATATAGCACAAATAATAACAATAATATATTCACCGGAAGTACCGGCACCAGTTTCGTAGCGGTGTGTGTTAATATTTTAAAGCGACGCGCAGTGTATAATGCGTACATTATGTACGACCGCGTAATGAGCGGCGGCGGTGGGAAGAACGGCCGTCGTAGGTACGAAATAAACGTGGAAACGGCACGCGCGGACGGTCGAGAAATATAATAATATAATACGTAAAGTAATACAGCGCCACTATACCTATTTGTATAATATATTAGTATAAAGACGTCCGCCGGACACGTCCCGTGCGGCGGCGGCGGCCGACTGATTGGCGGCAAATCGGTCTTAACTGGCGCGCAATGGCAGTT